GACATAAAAGGTCACAAAGTTCACATCTTTCTTAACCACTTGAGTGCTGCATCAACCCATATGAAATAGGAATGCTAGCAGACTGTATCCAAACTGAAATAAGCACTTATTTCCCCCGATCTCAATGTGATTTCAGACTGCTCTGAATCATAGTAATGGAAGAAATGCTTTTGGGCTTCTCCAAAACAGTGAGTAGACAGGCTTTATAGAAGTACAGAACTTGATAGTCACATAAAAACAGTGGGGAAATAGGGAAGAGAAAAACACCTGCAATATGTGGGGAAATGGGGAAGAGAAAAACACCTGCAATATGTGCAGGCACTGGGTCATTTTAGCCAGCGGAGAAAAAGGATCATAAGAGAAAAAAGATTTATGAAGTTGCTGCTGAGTCAATAGGGTTTTAAAGTGTTTCCTCATATATTTAGACAAAAGGATTTACTGTATTATTTTCCTTTGCAATATCGCAATATACTGAGAACAGTCTTGCTATATGTAAAATGTCAAAATATGTAAAACAATATTTAAGTAGACACTTTCTCTTCAAAGTTGACTAATTTTCAATTAGTGATTAAAATGGCTTTCAACTGAGAACATGACAGAGCTTGAAGTTTTGGAATATCTCTGATTTCATTGTAATTTCATTTTTTGATGTGCTACAGCATTTCAGCAACATTTGCAAGATTAGTCTTCCTGGAATTCTCCATTAGTTACTTGCTGGAATTTTCCAATAGGGAGGAACAAGGATTGTGTTATTTAAGAAAAGAAATTCATGGTACTACTTTCTGGGACCAAACCAGAGGGGTTATCTTTTCCTGTAGTCAAGTCTATCTGTCTGCCTGCATCCCCCCGTCCTGTCTTTTCATCCTTTTAAATCAAAATAAGGTACTTAGTGAAATATCGCAGGGCAATATTTTGCTTGTTTCTAGTAGTGCATTCGGCCATAATAGTAGCAGCAATAACATAGAGTAAAAGCATGACTCTGTTCCAACTGACATCAAAAAGATATTTGGAGACTTAAAAGGCTTTCTCCTGAAAAAGGACCTCAAAAAATAAAATTATTGCAATTGTATTATAGCTGTAATTGAAAACAAACACTTTCTTGGTACTATTATTTTGAAATACTTATTTCTGCTACATGCTGAAAATCTTGGCTTTTATATAACAGTGTAGATGTATTTACTCTTGCAGATTAATTGTTCTCTTGTTGGTATTTCATGTGACAGAGTTGCCACGAATGAATTACAGAAACTTACTGAATGCAAGCTTCATGAATGAGAAAAATTATGTAAATAACACAAACTCATTTATAATGTGTGCGAATCAGCTCCTTGAGGTGCAGGATTGTATGTAAGGACTCATAAAAAAAAGGAAATAAACATTACCAACTTAGAGACTTAGTCATGTAAATAAAATATAGTATGTTATAAAACCAGCTTCTACTAGATTTACATTTTAAGTAGCAGAATATATTAGGAAAACATGCAGAAATGGGGGGGGGGGTTTGCTGAGGGAGATAGAGACTCATAAAAAACTCAGTAAAATGAAAGCATTTCTTCTTTCAAGGAAACAGTCCAGAAGATAATTTTAAATAGTCTTTTGATGGTCATAAGTCTTTAGCTCATACACAAAATCAGCCTGATTTCCTCCCAAAAACCCAACTAACTAATTTAAGCTCCTTTGGTGATTTAGCAGGAGTCATTTTATTCCATTTAAAAATCATTGCAACACAATTTTCATTTAATGCATTATCAGAAGGAAGATGATTTTTAATCAGTTTTCAGGCAGAATTCATCTACAATACTATGTAATAAAATGCTCTTATCCCTGTTTACACAGCTTATTTTTTTTAAAAAATATCTTTTACAGAGATATAAATGGTTTGGGGAAAGGAAGAAAATATGAATTGTTATTTATATCCTGACAGTTTATTTCACTCTCCATTTTTAGAGATTGTCACCAACAAACTAGTAAAGTCTTCATAGTTATATGAAGAATTTCTTCTTTTCTATAAGAGAAGATGCTTCTGTTGCAACTACTGATAACATATTTAATATTATCCAACATTAGATAATTTATAACTGGAGTTGGTACTTTTCTGACAAGGTAATTGAGGTAAACAGAAACTTAATAACTTACCTCAATTAGGAGCTATTACCTTTTCCATCACTGTCCACCCCAGTATCAAAATGCAGGAAAAATATAAATGATAAGAAAGATGAAAAGGCAATACATTGATGAATAGAGAACAAAAAATGTGACTAAAAAAACTGTTAAGCAGTTCAAAAGTGTGATTTACAAATACAAAAAACCAGCTTTGGAGAGAATAAAGATGGTGTAATGCAAAAGCAGTGAATGTGAAGTGCACAGGATACATAATTTTTAGGCACACTGAAATTGCAAATAGGAGTATGTACGCTAGTGCATTTTGAATAAGTCTTTCTTTCTAGAACAACAAATCCTATAAAAACATTGAAAGCTCTAATGCATTAAGGCATACATATGGAAATCTTTTACATTTTTCATACTGAAACATTTCAGGCTGAAAAGATGACAAAGTGATTTGGGGGTTTTTTTCCCCTGCATATTTTCTAATACACAATTTAGAAGGCCGTATTAACACAATAAATATTTGTATAGAGCTGCGTAGAATATTGCATATGAACTAAAAGCTACTCCCTAAACACCATGTCCTTGGTAAACAAGGTAGGATTCTTCCTGCTAGGCCTTTGCAGAAATATTCCCCAAGGGAAACCTGTCCTGCTGCTTATTGCAACAGCTGTGCTGAGCATTGTTATCTCAGATATAGCTGTGGATTTGCACATGAAAGATATACAACACATGGTTTTCTGAAAATACTTAGCTGACTGTTTCAGAGAATTCCTTCCTTACTGATTTCTTATGATAGAGAGAGTGTCCCCATGGTCTCTTCTTCTTAAGAGAGGAACTAACTCCATCGTATAAGAAAATACAACACATCAGAGGCACACCCTACTGAGAGATTCTGTGAATCTCCTTAGACATCAGTGTTTGATAGATAAAGCAAAATGTTCTCATGGAACATCTGAGGACTTAACAACTTCGATTAGATAGTATCCCACTGAATAAGAGCAGAAGGACTGGCCACAAGACTTTTGACCCTCTTCCCAGTGGAACAACATTGTGTTTTCATAAAAAAAAACTAACCAAGTCACACGATCATAAATAAAACTGGAAAAGAGAGAAAACTGGTAGGATCGAGAGGGTCCAAGAAATACAGATTGAAATTCCAAAGATAATTTAAATTTAGTCATATTCCTCATACGCTTTATTTAATTTGTTTAAATTTAACTTCTTTACATTTGTATATTGCTTAATGAAAATTCTTCATACATCATTTGATCGTGGAAATCCTGAACCGCTACAAGATTTAACTGACTAAAGTATTAAGAGTAAATACTGAAGCCTGTAGTTGAAATTCACACTTCTCAGACCATTTCCATAGGGATAAAAGTACGTGCAAACATCTGGAAATTACTCAGAAGAAGGAAACATTTTTGTCTGCTGTTTATAAACATTTCTGATCTGAACATGCAGCTATTAAAACAGTAATTTCACAATCAGGTTATAGCTGTCTTGTTTCTCTCAGAAAACATTCAGAAATAAGTGTGAATACAAACAAGGATTTAAGAAATATATGTAGACTATATTACTATCAGGCATTTCTATGAGCATCAATTCACACAAAAAGAATTACAGAATATGCAGAAATACCAAGGTATCCTTGCATTCTTTCAAAGATAACAGTTTTCCTGGCATGTCCTGGTAAAGTCACAAAGCATATGACCTTTCTTCTTTTAGAGAATGAAGTTACATAAGAGGAACTAGCAAGGTATCTGAAGAGCAAAATAGATCTTCAGATTGCAGTTATTTAGTACTCTACGTTCTCTGAACAATAACCTCTTACCCAACAGAAAGTAGAATGGTTGCACATAATTTTTACTCCACAAAATTACAGTAATTAGCATAACATTTTCAGAAGACCAGTAAAAAAAAGGTCACCAGTTTCCCATTTTCTCTTGCTCATTAATTGCTAATAGATGAGGTCTAGTTCAGGTAAACAAGAGAAGAGAGAACAGAGAACAAACAGAACTTTATAAAAGAGAAGCAGGACTAAAAGTTACAATTAAAACTACTATTTTTTTTTTCCACAAAATAGAGAACCTCCCTGCAGCAGGGAGGTTAATCAATTACTTGCTCAAATTGCACTTCAAAGAGTTGGTTGTTGCTTTCACAGGCACATAACATGGCAGGTATGTCAAACTACAAAAACTTCCTAAAATAGTTCCAAAACTTGCTTTAGCAGAAGAGAAAGTGCAGAAGGAAATTATTTCACATGCACAGATACAAGGCCTACTAGAACTTCCTCGTCAGGAAAAGGGTGTTTCTGCACTACTGCAAAACTTCCACATGTTATATAACAAGGAAATTTAATTCTGGGCAAATTTCTTCATACAGACCAATAGAAACAAATAAATTTTTTATAAAATCTTACCAACTGCCAACTCTATGCCTCACTCTGACAAATAAAGACATTAAAAATACGGAGTACTACACCTGCTGTTTCTCCAGTCGTAGTAAGTTATTCACTGTCCACAGTCCATACCTATCTTTAGCTTGAAAAAGCACTGAATTATTAATGTGTATTTTGGGAGAAAGAAGAAAATTTTCTTGTTTAATGATGTCTCACAGGGGAAGGATTATATAACGCTCAAAAACGTACCCTGGAGAGAAACAGTACCTTAATATCTTATGAACCTAAGTTCATTACTACAGTAAAAGGTCATCTCTATCCTGGAGCAATATCATATAAACATCATTTTTGTCATTAGTGAAACATCCAGTTATCCAAAATCATTTTTAGATCATTAGAAAGATTGTTATTGACTTTTCAATAGACCTACACTTTATCTTGGACATGAAGCTTCAGGTTTTCCATTAAATAAAGGTGACAACATACTTACTTTTCTGTCTGGCCAATTATATTTTGCAAATATTGTATCATATGTGTCCACAGCCCCATCAGTGATCAACATTATGGCTTGGCTGCAAATGCTTCCTTGTCCTGTGTGATTGAACTGTGAAAGGAAACAATCATGAGGTACAGCACATTCCTGTTAAATGAAGATAGATAGGATCACACTGGATAAACATGTCTCTTGTGAAATCTCTAGTATTATTAGTAGTAGATGAAAATATTCAGGCTGAAAACAGTTTATCATAGATATTATGTTCTTAGTGAATTGAAAAATAAGAAACACACCCAAATACAGCACTTCCCCAAATTGAAACTGTATTCCCCTGTTTTAGGTAGATGATAAGTATCGATGCATCTACAGAGGGTTTGCGTTGATTTAAATGCCATTTTAAAAGCACAAGTTAAGAAAGAAGTAATGAATGACTGAGGATTTGTCTGCAAAGTAAAGAAGATACACAACTCAGAGAGACATATGACATATGGCATTCAGATTCACTCAGGATTACATTCCATACGTTATTTTCTATAAAATATTTCTCTGGGAGAACCAAGTTCTTATTTATATATTTTGAGATTCTCCTCTTGCTCAGAATGAATATATAAAAGGAAGTCAAGCTGCTGAACAGCAGCACTTGAGCACAGGTACTTAGACAGCAATCAACATATCCTTTGGCATATGCAAAGGGAGTTTCTTCATTATACAAATGAGATTTTCTCCTGTCAAAGAGCAAGCACGTTGGACTGAGTCATAACAGAAGCTTTGATCTCTTGATTCTGGAGGTGGTGCTCTGACTTTGAATCCATTGCCTCCGTTTGTTTTGGTTATAGAACAGGTTCTTATTTTTCCATACACTTATATATTTGAAGAACCTAGGTGAAACATCTGGCTTTTAGCAAAAAAAGAAAAGCAAGACTGGAAAACTATTTGATTTTTCATTGTTATGTATGAACACTTTAAAAAATATCCATGAAAAGATCAACAAACTGGGATATTACAAACAACTCTACAGACTGGGCTAAAAGTTGAATACATGCTAATGAAAGAACAATCTCCTTTTATTCTCTTCCCATGTAGTTTTCATGTAGATTATCAAATTCAAGGTCAGGCAAGGCCTCATCCTATACCCTGTCTCTTGATGTTGAGAAAGCCAAGCACCTTGTCAGCCTGGTTGTGCCCCAAAATAGGGTGGTCCCATTTAAAGGTGAATTACCTCACAGAGACTGACCACTTCTGTATTCATCAAAAATTATTCAGATTATTCTGATCTGATTTGGTGTAGCAACTGCTCTGTCTTTAAGCTTTCTGCAGTTTACTCACCCTTACATATTCACTGCTCTTCCAGAGCTCTAAAAGTCACTTTTTCTAAAAAGAAGTTCTGAACTTCTAAAAATTTCATCTTTGTAGAAGTGCCTGCAGTAGAAAAGGGTGGATGGTGGGCTCCAGCAGTGCTCTGTCCTCTTTTCTTCTGCCTTCACACTTCTCTATGTGAGTAATCACACCCACATTCAACAATCATTTCCATCAATGCATTTCTCCCTCAGTTTCTTTTTGAGCAAAAAGGAATCTCAGCAAAGAGTAATGGAAACATGTTGCTTAACAGGCAGCTAATGTGCGTTTAGTATATTCTGGTCAGTGGCTGGTTGAAAATTCTTATCTGTGATACTTTCAGGGCAGACTACCCACAAAATTCTTCACTCATGGCAGTTTTTCCAGTCTTAACTAGAACTAGAATTTTTACAGTGAGATTCCTTCATGATCTTAGATTCCATATTTTCTCGTAAAGATGAAGCTGCTTTGGGAAGGGATATGTTCTTCACAGGGACAATGTATTTGGAAAGTGACAAGGTATCTTAAAAGAAAAATTAATGAGGGGGGAATGCCTTCATACATTTATTTTAAAACATCACTCTGTGTGCATCTGCATTATTCTACATGGTTATCTGAATATTTTGAGGAATGAGATTCAATTCAAATACTTTGATGAGTAATATCTTCTCATATTTGTCTAAAACTTTAATTTTATTGAATAGCAAGAGTGATGAAAGTGTTTTCCATAATAATAACAATGACAAGGGCCTTATGATGAACTACAATTAACTCAGTGATTCATCAGTTAGCTGAAAAAACTTCAGCGCATCCTGACATTTACTGCATTTGGTTGTGATTAACAGTCTTTGAAATGTCACAGAATTTTATTTAATTGGTTATGATTTTTTTAAAGGTAATCACTACAAAGAGTGCATTTGTCACCAAAAGAGATAATTGCAGTTGTCACATGACATAGTAGGTGCCCAACTACTGAACCAAGCACTTCTATATTCTTACACTGTATAATGTACACTGCATAAACTGATGATTGGAAAGAATTTGGAAGTGGATTTTTAAATGTGCTTTTCAAAGACATCAGTATCAACCATCTTCAAATCTTAACAACCATAGCAAATACTGAAAGGTAAATTGCAAGGGAAAATCAACTGAGTTTAATTGGTGTAACCCCTGAACCATTCGAAAATCCAACCAGAATCTTAATACACTCTATTTGTGCAACACAAAGCTTTCTCTTTTTTTTCCTTTCCTACCTGCCCCCCTTCCTACTTCTTTTTTTTTTTTCCTAGTGTAGAAAAGACATCCTTAGCTAACTTATAGTTTACAAGAATAGATTTCTGACACATGAAGGTCACATTCCATAAAAAAAAGTGGGAAATGGTTTGCTGTACTCTTTTAAGGAAAGATTAAGTAGCTTTTTTTCTAGGCTATGCTGCTTAGCAGAAACTTCCAGAGACTTTGTTGATATGCCTGTATATAATGGAAAAGATTTTTATGCTGGCATTTCTGAAAGTTTATATGCAAGAAGGCTTGAACCTACTATACTTCCTTTTATAGTATAAATAGAAATAGTCAATATACCACCTTGCATAGATCTGAACACATGTAGCACAATCCATCATGACCTTACAGATCTGTCTCATGGGTACAATTCAGTACATGGGATATCAGTTCCCCTTACTCTCAAAACTGCTTTTATTTAATGAGATTTTTATACCACATTTATTCTTATAACTTCAATTGCCTCACAGATTTTACAACAAAATAAAACAAAACAATTCTCATTTCAGGAACTCTTGATCACTGTCTGTAACGTGAAGGTTTTTTTCAGTTTTTCGGTTTACACAGATTTGGAAGACCAGCACAGAACAACTCTTGCATTGAGGCTGGTTGCTATTTACTGTTGTGTTTCTGGTTCCTAAGACTATACTTGGTGCCCACAATTCTAATAAACTCTCTAAAATAACCTAGAGTGTTCTTTACTTCATGCACCTTTTCCCATTGTCATTTTTGGCATGCTCCACATGAAGGCATTAGTTCCACACTGCCTGGCTGAACACACGAGCAGTGGGTGGAGGAAAATCCTCCTTTTTTTCATTTTAGGATTTTATGCCTGGAAAGGAATTGATCAATATTGTCCTTCAAGATGAATACAAAGGCATTAGAACCAGTAATTATTCTATAAATGTACACTATAAAGGCAGGCACACTCGTCAAGAAAAACCTTCTGGAGAACATTCTGGTTTGAGGTCTCCTTTGCAAGGTGCCTCCTTCAATCAAAAGATAGTTTGCTACTTAGTTTAGATGAGATTTTTCATCTTCCAGCAGACTAACAGATTTTAATATTTTTTCCCCCAAGTAACTGATTATCCTTAAGGAAGAGGGGGACAGGGGGCAGAGAAAAGAAAAGAAAAAAGAAAAAAAAAAAAAAAAAAAAGGAAAAAAGGGATAAGCTACCTGTATTTGTGACTGAAATTTTTCTTTCCAGAACAACCCTGGTAAATATGAGTGATAATAATAAAGTTTCTAAAATACTATTTGGTCTGGTTCAATCTTTATTTTATAATCTACTAATTCGTGAGTTATGACTATTTTTTCTGAATTCTTAAAATCCAACTGAGGTTAGTTAGGATGCATATTAATTCTAAAGCTACAGAATTAAGATACAGAATTCATTACTGCTACTGTTCACTTTCCCCCTTTCTTTCCTTGCTTTTTTCCAATTAACACCTCCAGGAAAGTATATAGTCAGCTGAGTTAAAATGCTGCTAAAGTTGTCCTTTGCTGAAACGCGTGGACTGACAATATATTTTACTTTTGCCAGAAATGACAAGAAAAATCTCTCTGAAATACACTACATAAAATCACTATAACCACTAAGACTGATGTGTACCCTGTGAGTAAAAGCAGGGCCTGCACTAGATTATCTCCATGATCATGACGTTCACCTGCTAGAGACTGTATTCCTGTTTATAGCCATTATTCACAGGAATGTTATCAGAAAGTTACCTGCATGTTTTTGGCAGACAAATAGTTAAAACAATACCTTTGAGCTGGTTAGACAAAGCTTTATATTTCTCCCTCTATCTTAGAGCATTTCAGAAGTACGAAAGTGTTCAAGTAACTTCCTTTATATAAGCAATAAATGATAATTGTCATGCCAGAAGTCAAACCTATAAACAGTAATTTCACAACTCTAATAACAGTGTATTCTCAAAGTGTTTATGAATATACAAATTCATGTCATTCTCAAAATATTAGCTCTTCCAAATAAAAAAAGAACAAACTGTGAAATTTGCATGTTACCCTGGTATCTTTTAACACATAGAACAGCTGTTGAAATAAACCTTATTTAATGCACACATGTGTGTATAGGTGTATATATAGACACAAAATACATCAATATAAAACATACACATTAAAAAATGTAGATTTGTTTATATATTCCACCACATATAGATTATACAGAATTCTTGTTCAATGGATAATATATTACTACCATCACATTTTTGAGTTCTAATTTATTATTTTAAAACTGAAATTGCTAAACAGCAAGAAAGGTGTCCCCAGTGTAAATCTAAAAAGCATGAACTTACTTCATTGAGCATGTTGAAAGCTTCATTTAAAGCAATGTCCAGCATTCCAATTCCTTTTGCAAAAAGTTTGTCAAGGTGTTCCCTGAAATGCTGAAACATGAACAAGAAAGTTTTCTTTGTCAGGATGTTGTCACAACATACTTGTTGATATCAATGATTATTTCTGAATACTTTAAACCTACTTCTTAGGTTTAAATGACTGAATACACCAGTTCATAAACCAAAATGATTCCCAAAATGATTAATCCTTTTGAACTCTTGAAGTAACACCAAACTAAGGATGTGTTAGAACAATAATAATGCAAAGGTTACACCAGATACATTTTTGGCTACTTATTCAATCAAGCAATTTTTCCTTGGTTGATTTTATTTTTTTGTGTTTCTCTTTAGTGGTATCCATATCTTCTTCTCACTTCACAATATTCATTCAAACTGTTATTCCAAACTTGTTATCACAAGGCCTATGAATTATCAAGAATGAACACGCAGCATTAACAGATTATCTAAAATTAATACTAAATTATATAATCTCTAGTGTATAATTCAGTTCACATGATCAGTCAGAAGAACAAACATTTTCTCTCACCATAACTCTATTTATACAAGTTCTGAAAAGTATACTGTTGATATGTGAAGAAATACAATAGTGCCATTTTTTTGATACAACACAGTAAAAGTGGTAAAAAATTAATCCATGCACTATCAATTTTTAAAAAAATCAATGTTTTCTGCCTCCAGGTTTCAGAGTGGACAGATGCTACAAGGTGATTCTGCAAAAGGTTGAAGAAAGCCCAAATGCACGTGCAGTTTGGTCTTTGACTGGAGGGGTTTGTAGTTTTTTATTTGTTTTTTTAAACCAACTCCATTCTCTGTCTTATCTTCTTTTTTTTTTTTTTTGAGAATTTCAGCACTTTATGTCCACTGGAAAACAAAAAAAAATCACTAAACATGTAAGTTAACATTTCTTTGTTTCCCTACCTTATCATACCAGGTGTGGCATTAACTGGATTCATGCCAAAACAAATCATGTTTTATTTCACAGGCAGCACAAAGAATGGCTTAATCAGACTGTTCACTCTACATCTGGCTCACGATGTTTATTAGCAAACAATCAAAATATACTGTTGTACTTTCAGAGAGGCTGCTTGTTTACCCTCTCAAAGAGTGGTACCTTATTGTGACTTCCAAGGGTGTACTATTGACACAACTATAACCCATCAGGCTGTTGTTTTAAGGAAAATCTGTAAGGAGAAAAGCTCCAAATTTCAAACACACATTTTTTTCCCCATTTCAGACATGTCCAGGCAGTACAACAATGCTCTGTCAGTCATGTTATAGTACCCTATTTGGTACTGGAAAAGGCATTTTAGAACATTGCATTATTTGTGTATGAGGAAAGCAAAGTTTCAAACTAATATTCTCAGAATTTCTCTACAGCTTGCCCACACATGTCTCCAACTCCCACTCAGTAATTTCATCCATTACAAAAGCACTGCCAAACAGAAAAGTGTATTCCAGCCCTTATAGTAGTGAAAAAATGTCAGGGCAGGACATTAACCACTGAAACATCAGTTTGAAGTAAAAGGGATTTCAGAATGAGATAAAAAACACCTCAACTCCACCTTCAATAACTTTCAGGAACCAAACAGATCCCCAAACCCAGGAGTTCCCTGCTCTTAATGAGTCAAAAAGCGTATTTTAAACTTTACATCTTAAAGAGCTCTTTTTAGTAATAAATTGTACAATGTTGGTTCATCTCAACTTCTCTTTACTATCCTATTGGAGCCCTTACAGACTAATATCTGAATTTCCTAGAGTCTGACTTGGATATCTGTCCAACTGTGTGCACAATCATTGCTGGGCAACCGTAAGCTTCATTTCCATGTGCAATACCAGAATGTGCAATATCTAATTGTGGACTCATATACCTAATTGACATGCATAGTCTTGGTAATTCTGAATGCAAATTAGGCACACAATTATGACAATCAGTCGCTGATGTCTGATTATAAAATTATAGGGTCAGAGCTCAACAGAAGTTGTGTCTTATCGCAGTGAGGAAGCACAGACACGTTCAGCTGTGGAGGTACTGATGATGTGGAAGTGTCTGAAAAACATGAGATGAAGAGAATGAGGATACAAATCCACTTGTGCATGTCAGCCAGGACAATTCTCTGCATGTACCTACCAGGTTTCAAACTAGAACAGCAGCAATGCACACACTTGTTCTTGTGCCCTTGTGTGCTGCTGTTTGTTTCTAAACACTGTCCATTGTCAGAACCACAAAGTCCCAGTGAGCCCAACATCTGATAAGAATCTATGTATGCAAATCTCTTTGATTTGCTTCTCTCCTTTTCTTTTTACATTGTGTAAACTTTGTTAGGACCCTCTAAGTCAGAAGCAAACCCTGTAAGTTAGAAGCAAATCTGATGGGCCTGGAATCAGGAAATGGGTTCCTGCCCCAGGTGCAGTTACAAATGTGCCTGTTTGAAGAAGAATGGGGTTTACTGAATGGGGGATACTGACAGTGTTTTTCTAAAGAAGAAAAATCATATTCTCACACCTATTTCTGCTTAAGACACATTTTATTTTAGCCTACTAATGATTGTCAAAAAATAAGGTACCACTTAGGATAAGTAGGAATATCCAAATTAGATGGGATTACAGGACCACAGATTCAAGCCTATGAATAAAGTACTTTCCCCTGATTCCAAAGAGGGAACAGTTCACAACTGATATGTGTAGCAGAGATTATACAGTTACACTGGAAAATCACGATATTTGCTATTAATTGTCTGAAAAGGGGAAGCTTCCTCCAGAAAAGCATCATTAACAGGTTCAACATTGCTCCAGATTTGTTTGTCAGTTTTACTGCAAGTCTTTGCTATTAGTTTCCATACTTATCCATGCATGTTCTAACTCCAAATATTCCTGAGACCTACTTGGCAAAGATTTATCAGATTTGTGAACATGGACCACATCAGCACATAAAGCAGGAAAGAAAAAAACCAATCAGGAGGCATGTGTGAGGTGGGAGAGTGATATTTACTGGTGTGTCACAGGCAAGTTTACCCACATGTGCTAACAGATAAATGTGCATCACATCCATAAAATGCATTTAAGCATCATCCCATTTAAAATCCACTGCCAGGGCAATTCCGGGTTAGCTTGCTAGTGATAATTATCCAACCACTTCTGTTTCCTAATATGTTGTGTTGGAAAACAGGATTTTTTTTATAAAAGCAATCATAAAAACAATGCTGAACCAAAGAGTTCAAGATTCAATATGCTCACATTAAAAATAAATTCTCCTTGAGCAAATTGGTTGCTGCAACAGAAAACTTCAGACCAAATTTCAGTGCTCTGGGGCGAACTGAAAGATTTGGAGGTCTATAATGGCTAGACAGTTTTAAAAAAAGAGTAGACTTCAGTGAGACTTTACTGTTTGGGGCTTTTTAACAGCCAAGCAATGCTGTTGACAACCTTTTCTTGAGATCTGACAGACATGGATAGCTAAATATGCAAAAGTAATTTGCTTAAATAAAATTCAATATGCAAAATTTGTATTTACCAACCTCTTATTGGCAATTTCACTCAGCTTCTTTGCTGAATCAGTCTTCTGGTTATTTAATTTCTGGTAATTGCATAGAAAAATAAAAGCCCTTTGGAAGTTATACACTACATCTGTCTATTTTTGTCATTTGAATTTACACTGGGGTAAGTTCTTGATTTAGTTTGGAGTTACTGTGCCTATCTGTGCATCTAGAAGATGATATATTTCATCTGGAAACATTTACAGAGAAATGTCCTCAACCCATATATAGTACATTAAAAAAACATATAAAAGAGGAATGTATATTGTAATATTGTTACTTTAAATCTGGAGTTACATTAAATCAGATTGTCATCCGACTCCTTTGGGGTAGGTAAATTGTAACATGGAGTTTCTCAAAGATGAAAACCTCTTGGCCCAAGAAAACTGGTATTAAAATAGGCAGTTCCACATGTTTGTAATTTGTGGAGAAAGTGCAGACGGTGACAGAATAGTGTCTGAACTATTTCCCACTCTTTTTTAAATTTGTGTATAGCAAATTGATATACTTCAAGGCACCAGCTGTTTAGTGCTAATGCCAAATTATAAAATAGTCTGGTAAAATTCGAATATACCTTACATATTTTATATTACTAAACCACATTTAGGTTCACAGATTAATTTCAACCTCAGTTATGCTACCCAATGTAATTACAGATTTAATTCTTGTGATAAATGAAACTTCAAGCAAGATCTGCAAATTAGGGATAGGTTACAGTATCCACAGATCTAAACTGAACCTTCAGGGCAGGTATGTGCCAACACAGAAATTTATGACAATTGTTGGCTGGAAAAACTTAAAAGTAAGTGGAGAAACGATGACACCTGTCATATCACCTGACATTATAATTACTCTTAAAACAAATTTCTATATTGTCCTATTGTAAAATGAAAGCTGAAACACTATATCTTGGAAGAAATCTAGTACTGAGATGCCTACTTTGTATCTTAGTAAAAGTGAAAGCACATATACTAACACCACTCCCATCACTGTCATATTTGAAATTGCAACTTTGAGTTTTATAAATAAAAGACAAACCTCATTCAGTCAGGTTTCCAAAAAAGAGGATGTTTTCTGAAGCTGTATCTGACAGAAATTCAAGGTGATCTGAAAGCTACACACGAGCACTTACAGAACCAACAAAACAATTTGATCAAAACCTGTGGAAATTTCTAAACATTTTATACTAATTATGTTAGCATCTCCTCCTGGTGGGTTACTGCTAACAGTAAAAAAAAAAAAAAAAAATAAGTTAAATGAAGATTTACAACTCAAGACTGCATTACTTGGCTCTTCTTTAAGCTGGTTGGGAACAGGTTGAGATACTTAGAACCCTCACACTGTCTTAAAGAAAAGCATGTTATTTGATCAACATTCTGGAGATTCAGGGCTGAAAAAAACTGTTTTCTCCAACCTTCATTCCTTTCCCATAATAAAATTACATGAAAATATTAAAATGCTTAATTATATTAAATCTACTGTAATACATCAGACAGA